ACAGAACAAAAGAGAGCATGAAAAGAAAAAACTGTGGCAACAGTGGCGAGCTGCTCCAAACCACACCAGGGCCAACTCAGCAGCAGGATCTGTGTGAGTTAGAGGCCAGCCGGCAATGAGTGAGGCCCCAGGAGCCCCAAAATACTGCCCAGGATAAGGAGAAACAGCAAACCTCCTGACAACAGCAAAAGCACAAGTTTCATACATTCCAGCTACAACTTAGTCGCAGTGAGGCAAAAACAGGATGTAAGCTAACAGGAGTGACTGCATTCCAGTAAAATGTAGACCAGCTGAAGAGGCTTTGTGTAGAGCACCTGCCTAGAATCACACACTGTGAGCTGGGGGGTGCTCAGTGGCAGAGCATTTGTCTAGGATAATCCAATTAGAAGTTGAAAGTATGCTCCAATAGTGCTAAGCTTGCCTAGAATCCCCAATGAGGGTTTATGGGTGTGGTAGAATGCTTGCTTAGAATCCTCTAGCAAGGAACTGTGGGCCTGGTACAGTGGTGGAGGACTTGCATAGCATGTACAAGGTACTGGGTTCAATCCCCAATGCCTGTAACAACAACAACGTTTTATGAACAAACAGGTGTGGAGCTAGGCACAGCTGTAAGTTAGCCTAGCACCTAGAAGGCTGAGCTAAAAGAAGTACTGCAAGTTAAAGGCTAGCCTGGGCTACAGAGAAAGGCTGTCTCTAACTCCCCCTCATAAAAGTAGAAATATAAATTACAAACTTGGAGAAAGGCTAAAATCAACAATGAGACCCCATCTAAAAATTTTTTAATTTAAAAAGCAGACCATGCATGAAGAGCAATGTGTGTGCATTAACTGAGCTCTAGTTCTACCTGATAAATGATTACCTAGAGACTGCTCAACCACCTTTTAACTCCAAGTGCCACATGAGCCTGCTATCTGTGGGCTGAGGGACTTTTCTCTGTAGCCCAACGCCTCATTCCCTGTTGGCCTCTTAATTATCCTCAAAATGTCTGAAGCTCAGCTGCTAAGTCCAAACATTAGGACCTGAGTTCAATTCCCTAGAATCCATGTTTTGTTTTGTTTTTTTTTCCAGACTGAGGACCGAACCCAGGGCCTTGCACTTGCTAGGCAAGTGCTCTACCACTGAGCTGAATCCCCAATCTCTATAATCCATGTTTGTTTGTTTTTGTTTTTGTTTTTTTTTTTAAAAAACAAAACAAAACAAAACAAAAAAAAAAGGAAATCAAGCACAGTGGCACACGCGCACACACACACAGAGTCTGAAAGCATTCTGGTTTTCCTTCCAATGCTTCTTTGCCCCATGGATTTCCCAGGCTCTACTCTGAGAGAAACCGGAGATCCTTGCTCCCTCTCAACCTTCTGCCCACACCCTGCCCCACCTCAAGCCTACACAACCATCAGCTCCTGCTGCCAGCACCTGTTTTCAAACCTTCTGCCTCCCAGCTGGCTTCACCAATCCTCCTCTTACCTCAAAAGCACGGCAGCTTTAGCCCCTTCAGGTGTCTGCTCTGATCTTGTCCCTTACTCCCGTCCCCAGAATCTGCAGAACGAAGTTTACTTCTGTTGGGCAACACTCCGGCCATCATATGGGGGCACACACATGTAATCCCAGCACTCTGGAGGCAGAGGCAGGAGCGGCAGTTAAGGTTGATACTCTATGCAGCCTTAACCACACAGAGAATTCCAGGCCATTCTGGGCAGGCCTCTGCCATAAACAACCAAAAAAGAATCTGATTGAAGATCTGGGTTCCCTCACCTCCCGGCTCCACTCCAAGGCCTAACGGGACCCTACCTGTACTTTCCCTGTGCATGGATGTGGACACAGGGCGTGTGGGCATGTGTGTGGAAGCCAAGGGTTCATACTGGGTGTCTTCCACAAGCACTCTCCACCCCGTTACGTCGTTAGAGACTGGTTTTGTGTCTGTGTGAGGACACATGGACGCCACAGGTCAGCCCCCGGCTGGTGGAGTTGCAGGCTTGTGAGCTGCCTGGCCTGGGCGCTGGGAACTCAACCCCAGTCCTCTGAGAGCAGCAAGTGCTTTTTCTTCACCACAGCCAGCTCTCCAGCCCCGACCTCCTCATTGCTAGAGACTCACTAAACATGGACAAGCTGGCTATCAAGCCCCTGGGACTGAGCTGTTCCCACCTTCCCAGCGCTGGGTTACAGGCATAAATTGGGCCCCCACTTTTTACGTGGGCTCTCACATTCCCAAGCTTGTGTGCAAGTACTGTACCCGCCGAGTCAACTCCCCAACCTTCACCTCTATTTTCAATTATGATGTGCTGGGCTGGAACCCAGAGCCTTGACCATGACAGGCAAGGCTCTATAACTGAGCCATGCCCTAACCCCTCACTGGCAGACTATAGGCAACTGTTCCACCACTGACTTACATCTGAGCCCCAAGGCTCAATTTAAACACCATGCTTTGATGTGCCCAACAGAGAGAAAACCTGTTTTTGATTCCTATACATTCTCTCTATCCTTCAAGGAATTCTGCTAAAATCATTCTAGTCCCCAGAGCTCTGCTGTGCATTTGTGGTATTGAGTAACTAACAAGCTAAAAAACCAAAACAAAAACTGTTTTAGTTATTTATTTTTGAGATAAAGTCTCATGTACCCCAACGCTGTACCCACAAACCCACCAGGTACCTGAGGATGACTCTGAGGTTCCTAATCTACCTGCTTCCACCTCCTGCATGCTTGGATGACAGGCCTATGCAGTGCTGGGGATGGAACCTGAGCTCTGAACCAGGTAGGCAAATGCTGCCACCTATGCTACATTCCCATACACCAATTTATCTGGCTTATCCTTGGAATGGCTGGGGGCCCACTAAAAAACAGACACCAGCCCTTTTTTGAGTAGGGAAGCAGAAAGAGAAACAAATGCACAGGAGTGGCCAAAGCACGTGGGGATAGCTTTGTCTTCTCTCAATCCACTGTCTGAAAAACTAATTCACTTCCAGGAAACACAGCCCACTGCACAAGAGCAGCATTAATCTGCTCATGAGTTAAGCCCTGAAGCCAATAACCACTTAAAGGGGAGAATATGTGTGTGTGTACATATAAAACATCTATGTGCATGTACGTATGTGTTGTTTACACATATACAGGAGAATGACAAAAGTGGCCAGAGAGGGCACTAGATCCCCTGGAGCTGGAGTTACAGATGGTCGTAAGCTGCCTGACATGGGTGCTAGGAACTGAATTAGGGTCATCTGCAAGATCAGGAAGTGTTCGTAGCCACCGAACCATCTCTCAGCCTTTAGAGTCCACCCCTTAAAGGCTGCATGATCCCACATACATACTGGAAACCAGGCTTCTGGTGTACACATATCTTTGGGTGACAACCCGTTAGAAATCGGCAAGGCCCTCAGAATCTGCTCTCTCTACTCTGCCTTCTACCCACATTCCCAGCCTCCCTACTCCACAGTCATTCAACACAGCTACATTTACCGCAGCCTGGCCCGGCCCAGCCAGCTACATGACTATGAAAAGGCTGACACCCCTCCCCACTCTCTCCTCCTAGCCTTACTTTACAGCTCACCCTAGCCATCACTTCCAGAAGCCTCCCTAACCCTGCTTGCCTACCTCCTCTTGGAGGAGGGGACTCACCTTGTGACTCACCTCAGCCCTCTCTACACTTATCAACAAGGTGTTGGCCTTGCCACTAACTGGTGTACCTGTCTTTCCACCCAACAGGCTGCCAGAAGACAAAGATCTTGTCTGGCACCCAGCAGAGGTTTGTGCAAACAAAGAAGTGAATTCTGGTTCAAATGCAGTAATAGTGATTTGTTTCGCTAGCCTAAAAAGAATAGCTTGGTTGGTTGGTTTGGATTTTTTGTTTTGTTTTGTTTTGTTTTAGAGATAATACCACCCTATGTAGCCTGGGGTGGGTTAGCATTCACTACATATCCCAGGCTGGCCCTAACTCTTGATCCTCTTGCCTCAGTTTACTGAATACTGGGATTACATGCAAGGGTGAACTGGATACAAAGCCCTGGCTAACCTCAAACTTCTGCTAAGCTTCCCAAGCACGGGATGACAGGCATGCATCACCTTGCTAGGCATTGTTTTCATTTTAATTTATTATTATTGTGTGAGTACGGGTTTGTGTTTGAAATGGAAGTGTGGAGAAGTCAAGGGATGGCTTTCAGGAACCCAGTCATTCCTTCCACCATGGGATCCAGGGATAGAATTCAGGTAGTCAGGTTTGTACAGCCAGGGCTAAAGTGTTATTTCTTAAAAAAAAAAAAAAAAAAAAAAAAAAAAAAAAAAAAGGTGGCGGGAGAGGCCATGGAGATGGCACTGCCTGCCAATCTTAATCACCTGATATACATCTCCAGAACTTACATGGTGGAGAGAACTGACTCCTGCAAACTGTCCTCTCACCTCCATACATACACCATGGCACACACAACAAATAAATGTGTTGTTGTTGTTGTTGTTGTTGTTTAAGTAATAATGAAAAATAAAATAAATGTTTTGAAGTACTGGGGATTGAACTCAGGTCCTGTTGCTAGCTAAGCACTTTACCAAAGCTGCTTCCCAGCCCATTAAGCATGTCCTAAGGTAGGACACCTTAGGACTGGTTAGACAGAAGCCGTGTTGGCAAGAAGCCAACTGGATTTATCTGCAACATCTGGTAATCCGTAATCACTCCTAGATGTGTGCATATGTGTAAAAGCATGTGCCGAGAATGCACAGATGCATGGGTGCTTTTGGAGGCTAGAGGACAGCCTGGATTTCAGCTTCTTAGGCACCATCAACCTTGTTCAACACTCACCAAATAGATGAGGCTGGCTAACTGCAATTCCGGGGACACAACTGTCTCCTCCCTAGCACTGGAATTACAGGTATATACCACCAGGCCAGGATGCTCTCCCCTGCCAGACAAGCAAGCACTGTCTGGACTGACCACCTTCCTTCAATGCCCACGTCAGCCTTCTCTTTTGAAAAACCAGAGATTTCAAAAGCAGCAAGGTAAACTTCCCATTGGCTCTCACCTCCTCTCGCTGAAGGGCTGGCACCAAACAGTCCCTTCTCGATGGAGACACCAGATCCTCAGGAGCAATAACTTGTCTGAGTTCCCATCTTGATATGAATAGCAAACAACAAGAACCCGGCAAATCTGAGGGCTTGCTGACTCAGCCACACCAATTCCGAGGCACCTTTGCCAAAAAGATGATTAAGTCTTCAATGAAGAAACCGTCAAGAGAAAACGGGTGCACAGATGTTGGATCCGTGTGCTGTGACTGGCGACTGGAAATTACCAGACTTAGTTTCCAAAAGCCTGGGCAGAGAGCAGAAGGTGTGACAGTCTTTCTCAGCCCACTCAACTAAGCCCTTTCCCAGAAAAGCCCGTATGAGGACTTCAGAAACCAGTCCACAGGACAGGCCAGGAAGGAAATCGACACACCAGAGAGGATAAAAATTTGATCAAGGTCACACAGTAATAAATAAACAAAGGGACTAAATACCTGAGTAGCTGAAATCTACCCTGATTTTTTGGCTATGTTGTAGAACGTTTACTTTTTGGTTTTTTTGGAACAGGGTCCACAGTATATAGCTTAGGGCTGACCTGGAACTCCTGATTCTCACGCTTCTGCCTTCCAAGTGCTGAGATTACAAGATTACAACTGGCTAACACTAGTTTTTTTCGCCGGGAGAGGTGTTAATATAGAGTCTTGCTATACAGCAAGCTTTGAACTCGCTACTCTAATGCCTTATTCTCGCAAGTGCCAGGATTACAAGCATGCACCACATGGCTGGGCTCTCCATAACTTTAAAGGGGCCAGGATGGCATTGAATAAATGGACAGAGTTCCTTAAAGGTTTTGCCTCTGTACACATTCGTATTTATGCCACTGTGGAGGCAAGCTAAAGCGGGCAACCCTGCAGCTGTCTGAGCGATAAGATGAAAAGCGGAGCTTCAAAACAGACTCGCCAAACTGCCTCAGGAACCCAGTTTGACAGACACCGAGAATGAAAAGGCAAACGCCTCCCAAGTCCAACTCCCTGCCGGCGGTGGAGCACTACTGCCTGGATGATGAGTCCCCCACAAGACTGAAACTGTCCCTCAGGGAACCGGACTGGCTATAGCCTCACTGCTCTGCCAGGTCCTGTAGGACTCAAACTCCCAGAGATGCGATTCCCATCTCTGCAAAAATAGGGTTCTCACCACACCCAGCTCTGTCCACAACGCTCAGAGCGTCCCAACTGCGACTTGCCGCCTCCAGGACCCCGGTGCCCCCGAGCCCAGGGCGCCTAGCGCCCCCAGTCCTCACCCACCCCGCCGGCACGGCCCTCCCTCCCTCGCACGACCGCCCCCTTCCGGTCCCAGCTTGGCTCAATAGCCCCCTCTCCTCAACCCACCCACCCACCTTCAGGACCCCCGGCGAGGCGCCAGCAGGTGGCCCGCCCGTCCCGCTCACCGAGTCTAAGGGAAGCAGAAGGAACAGGTAGAGAGGACCGCCAACCTCCGAGTTCAGCTACGGCACGGCCTGGGAAGAACCCTCGACTGTAGCTCCGAGTACGAGCGGGAGGCTGCCGGAGCGAAACTCGGCGTCGCAGCCTCCCAGCGCCAAGCTGCGCATGCCCCCCTGTCACGCGGTGCCTTCTGGGAAGTGTAGTTCTGGCGAAACGGAGTGGGCTGAACCAAAGCGCACCAGCAAATGTAAATGCATCCAGCCTTCCTTCGCTTTCTGCTTACTGACTTCTTCTTTAATTACTGATGTATTTTGGGTTTTAGCAATTTTTACTTATTATTATTATTATTATTATTATTATTATTATGTGTGTATATTCTTGGTGTAAGTGTACTTGCAGAGGTCAAAGATCAACTTTAGGAGTCGGTTCTCCCCTTCTACCCTCACGTGAGTTGCGTAAATCGAACTCAAGTGGTCAGGCTTGACAGCAAGTTTTTTTTACCCTCTGAGCCATCTCGGCCAGCCCCCGACTCCTGATATTTATTTTTTGTGGTGTTAGGTATAAGATTCAATGCAAGCACATTAGGCAAGTGTTCTACTACTAACAAACCCCAGATGTAAAATTCACTTTGGGGACCGGTTGCGGGTGGAGGAGGCGGTCAGGATCTCATGCAGTTCAGAAAGGCTTTGAATTTGCTTTGTAGCCAAGGCTAGCCTTGAACTCCTGAGCCTCCTGCCCCTGCTTCCTAATTGCTGAGCTTACAAGCACAGTTTCAAGAAACATAGATTTTAATTTTAAAAATAAAAAATAGCCGGGCATGGTGGTTGTGGTGCTCGCCTTTAATCCCAGCACTAGAGAGGTAGAGGCAGATGGATCCCTGTGAGTTCGGGGCCAGCTTGTTCTAAAAAGCGAGTCCCAGAACAGACGTTATACAGAAACGAAAACAAAAAAAAAAAAAAAAAAAAAAAAAAATTTTTTTAAGCCCTTAAAACTCACCTCATGTAACAGAAACTGTTCCTTTTCCCAGAACCGGCTCCCGACTCACCCAGAAGCAAGAAAAGATGAACACAGCCAGAGAAAGAGAGGAAGCCAGGCCTCAGCACTGTCGCTGAAAGGCTGAGCACCTGCTGTTGTTTTGCTCGGAAAGGCAGAATTGGGTAGCTTTCTGCCTCTGTTAATGGGTCTCCATCTGACACTCTACAGGGATAGTCTGATAAGACACAGCTGCTTTGCTCATTATTTCTGATGAATGGATGGCACCTGGCAGCTCCTGGTGGCAATGGCAGCTACCCAGGACCCACATGTAACCTGGACAGCCAGAAAGATCTTAGTGACTTCAGAGCCCCAAGGAAAACACACCTGTTCCCAAAAGTTCTATATAAGTCCCTCCTAATGGAGGGTTTTGTTGTTGTCGTTTTCTGTTGTTGTTTTTGGAGACAGGGTCTCATAAGGCCTAGCCTGATTTCAAACATGGCCTACTCCTGCCTCTACCTTCTGAGCACTGGGATTGCAGGTGTGTATTGTTGTTCCCAGCTTTCTGCAGTGAGGGGAAGGAGGACCCAGGCTTCCAGCATGCTAGGCAAGCATTCTATTAACTCAGCCATATCCCCAGCCCTTAAAGCATTGATCACGCTCCTCCTTTCTGCTAATTTCTGTCTTGCAAGTTTGAACTAAAGCTAAGGGCTCATGTTTTTTCGTTATTTTTATTTCTTTGTGCAGGGCTGGATCATGCCACAGCATGAATATAGAGGACAGAGAACGTGTTTTCCAGTTCTTTCTTGCCACCATGTGAGTCTTGGTATCAAACTCAAGGCATGAGACTTGGTGACAAATGTCTTTACCTGCTGAGCAAACCATTTAAATGTCTTGTATTCTACTTAATTCATCTCTAAGGTTTAACTGTAGCCAATCACTTTTTTTTTTTTTTTTTTTTGAGACAACTGTTCGTGATGTAGCCCAGGCTGGCCTTGACCTCATTATGTAACCCAGTTTGTCTTACCCTCGTAGCATTAGCACATATTAAGACAATTTTTATTCTAAATCTGCCTTGAGTCAACTGAATTCATATCCCAACCAGATATCCTGAAAAGGTGGAGAGACACCCCACCTCTTTTGTACATTTTTTTAAATTTTATTTATTATAGTGTTCTGCCTGCATGCATGCCTGCACGCCAGATGAGGGCACCAGATCTCATTATAGATGGTTGTGAGCCACCATGTGGCTCACAGCAACCACGTGGTTGCTGGGAATTGAGCTCAGGACCTCTGGAAGAGCAGCCAGTGCTCTTAGCCTCTGAGTCCTCTCTCCAGCCCCTACATTCTTTTCAGTAAAAATGCAATTGCTTCCTGCCCCATGGACTGACTTTTAACTAGTTTGATGTTACCTCTGGGCCATACCTCTAGCCCATTTTTCTAATATCTAAGCAAAGGAATTACAAGAATTTAATTTTTTAAATTTTTTTATTTCATGTGCATTGGTGTTTTGCCTTCATGTATGTCTTCATGAGGGTGGGATTACAGTGGATAATCCCACTGTAATGTAGGTGCATAGAGCTGAACCTGTTCAGTTCTGCAAGAGAAACCAGTGCTTTTAACCACTGAGCCATCTCTCCAGCCCATTTTTAAAAATTTCTATTTTGAAACTAAATTTTTAATTTGAAACTAAAATATAACCACATAATTTTCCCCTTCCTTTTCTCCCTTCAACCTCTCCAAGTACCTCCCCCACCCCTTGCTCTCAAATTCATGGCCTCTTTTTCTTTAACTTTAAGATCCATCCATCCATCCATCCACACACACACATATACACACACAACCTACTTAGTCCATATGTTACTTATATGGATATGATTTCAAGGAGGCTTAAACACATGATTTTTGACATTTTTCACTATGTTTTAATTTTCAGTCCTTTAACGACTCCCCTTCTCATCTGGGTGCTATGAAGCCCAAGGCAGAGTTTTCAATCCATCCTTGAAGCATTTCTGTAGGCTATGCTGGAGGCCTTTGGGTCAAAGTCAGATGTAGGTAGCTGCCAAAAACCCTAGAGGAAAAGGAAGTTCGGGTAACCTATGTCAAGATGACCTTCAGCTGCCAGCCAGTACCCTTCCTTGGCCCTTTCAGGGTCAGGAGAGCCCAGACTCACCTCAAACTCCTGTGAAGCTGAGAGTGGGCTTGAACCCCCCTCTCCCTGCCCCCACCTGGCCTCTTGAGTGTTGGGATTACTGTGCACCACTAGGCCTGGTTTATGGGGTTCTGTAGGTGGAACCATCTCTAGTGAGGTCTGGTGCTCTATTCTGGCGTGCAGGTGTACATGCAGGCAGAACACTGTATACATAATAAATAAAAATAAATCTTTTTTTTTAAGGCAGAGGCAGGCATATCTCTGTAAGTTCAAGGCCAGCTTGGTCTACAAACCTAGTTATGGGATAGCCAAAGCAGCCAGGTATGGTGGTACACTCAGGAGGCAGAGGCAGGAGATCTCTGTGGGCTTGAGGCCAGCCTGGCCTACAGCCAGATCCGGGATAAGGACCCTGTCTCAAAATAAAAAAATAAATAAATAAATAAAATAAAAATAACTTTTTTCAAACAGAAATGGGCAGACACTGGTAAGCATACCTTTAATCCCAACACCCAGGAGGCAGAGGCAGGTCGATCTCTGTGAGTTCAAGGCCAGCCTGGTATAAAGAGCTAGTTCCAGGACAGCCATGGATACACAGAGAAACCCTGTGTTGGAAAAACAAAACAGACATTTGTGTGTGTGTGCATGTGTGTGTGTGTGTGCATGTGTGTGCATGTGTTTGGAAGTGAGGCTCCAACTTGCTCGAATCTGTCTTTGTCTCCTTCCTCCACAGGAGAACCAGGAATTGAACTCCAGCCCTCCAGCACCTTTACCCACTGAGCCATCAGGCCAGCCCGAGTTACACATCATTTCAGCTCTAAGTAATCACAGCCTGGTCACTGCCTCGACCTCTTTGACGTGCCTCTCTTGGGAAAGCATTCCCGGGCCCTAAGTGAGCATAATTTCTACCTTTGTCATCAGTTAAGGCAGATCAGATGACAGGAGCAAAAATTCTACCCTCTCCAGTATCTCCATAATACTCGTTTTATTTTGTTTTGTTTTCCAAGACAGGGTTTCTCTGTGTAGCCCAGGCTGAGTTCAAGGCCAGCCTGGGCTACACAGAGAAAGCCTGTCTAAAGATACATCTGCCTCTACCTCCCGAGTGCTGGTTTAATTAAAGGCATGTGCCAGCCACCACTGCCAGGCTAATGCTCTATTTTTCAATTCTGCCTCAGTATGGCCTGGTGGAGGCCACTCCTTCCAGGGATGGGAGAGCTTTCTAGCTGAAGGTCAGATTATAGAGGAAGTAACCCAGACACAGCTACTTCCTCCCTGCTCTGAGGAAATGAAAGGAAATTTGAATGAAAGACACATTCTCGAGCTGTTACAACACTCAGGAACTTGAGGACAAGGAACCAATGGGAGCTTCATTAAAGAAATGGCCCCAGCCTGTCCTTGGAGCCACAGTCAGAGAACAGTGCCTGTTGGGCTGGAGAGCCAGCTCAGCAGTTTAGAGAACGTCCTGTTCTTTCGGAGGACCAAAGTCTGGCTCCCAGCACCCACACAGGGCCGTTCACAACCATCTGTAACTCCAGTTTCAAAGGCCCAGCTCCGGCCTCAGCGGGTGGCTCTCCAGCACCCACATGGTGCCTCACAGGGAACCTGTTCCCTTTTTTGATGCTGCATGCACAGGGTGCACAGATATACAAGGCCGACAAAAGAGCCACACACACAAAATTGTAAATATTTTCCAATTTTTTAATTTTTATGTGAGGACACATATAGAGAGGTCATAGAATAACTCGAAGCAGTTTTTCTCTACCGTCTGGGTACTGGGGATTGAACTCATGTTTTGACACTTCATAGCAAGTGCAATTACCTAATGAGCCATCTCACTGGCCTCCAAAAATACAGGCTGTTTTTTGGTTGGTTGGTTTTGTTTTTTCTCTCTGTATTTCTGGCTTCCCTAGAACTCGCTCTGTGGACCAGACTGATCCTGAACTCAGAGATCTGCCTGCCTTTGCTTCCTGAGTGCTGGGATAAAAGGCGTGTGCCACCACCACCTGGCCT